GATTACAATCTGCTAAATCGATAAATTAATCATATGTTGGTGGATTTTAGTCGTACACAAGGGTAATCATATGTTTCTTTGATTTTATTATCGTTCGTGGACTTAAGTCGTACACAAGAGAAAAATATTTTTTTATTAATTGACCAAATCAATTAGTATCATTTCCAACATTGGTGAACATATTATTATAGAGTGATGTTTGTTTTATTCATATTCCTAATAATTATACTAGTTCGTTTATCTTTTAAAAATTATGTTTTTCCCTCTCTTAACCATCATCATGCCTTACATTAGGGTGACCACATTAAGCAATGACATAAGTGATTTTAAGGTTAGTTCAAGTAAAAAACATTCATAAAGTCAAGATAAAAAAAATTGTATTCAAATTGGCTAGAAAACTGTTGTGTCATACTCGTTGTTTCTTTTGTGGTGCATGATCTAGGCTACCAGCCGGGCTGCCCGAGTCACCCTATTTTCCCGGGCGGTCCGGCCGTGCAAGGACCAGTGAAGGTCCCCCCCCCCAAAAAAAAAAAACAAACAAAAAACCCAAAAAAATCCAAAAAAAAACTATGTTATGCAGAAAAATAAACTGAACAATTTTTGCCTTAGGGTCACATCGAAAGTTTTTACCAAATTTAAAATAAATATTTTAATTAAAAAATAATTTTTATTTTTATTTTTTTATTTTATTTCTTTTTGGCCCGGTCGGGCAAGTGGAAGCGGGTCACTCTGGTAGCCTAGTGCATTATGATTTTCAACTTTCTATATTTTGATAAATAATCGTATATTCACTTAAACCACCAGTACCTCCGAGTTTGTTTTTGCCGACCCTGAATGTCACTGCGCTCCGAGTTTGCCGAGTCTGGGTACCACTCCGTTTTCTTTCCGGTACTCTAACGAAAAGAACAAAAAAAAACAAAAAAGAAGAAGAAAAATTGCGACCGTGAACCTCAGGAAAAAAAAAAAAAGGAAAAAAAAATTTGGTCGTGATTGCAGTTGTATACATTCTTGGAAGTGGTAGTGCATTGAGGGCATCTCAACCCCGTGGTCAGGTTGTCGGATTCCAAAAAGAGAATAAAAGGAGAAAAAAACGGGCACATGGATTCGACCATGAAAATGGTTGGGTACATTCCCCTAAATGTGAGTGTGATGAGCCTTACAATCCTCTGACAAAACACAACTTGGGCAAATCACGAATAACTTGAGCAATTCACGGACAGGGGACTCATAAGAAACACACGACCAAGAAAAAAAAAAAACCAGTAACATTCAGAATGTGACCGCCTTACCTGTAAGGTGCATTCTGTGGACGAAGATTGTGAGCACGGCCTCCTAGACTACCCAGCCCGACATCATTGCAGTAGAAAAAACATTTTTGTTTTTCTCTTTTCGTCACTCGCGACACTATAAAATTCATATTTATGGGATATTGTCGACCTTGTGTCCCACCCTCGAAAAGTTCGGGTACTGGCCAAGACATCGTAATTTTCCAATACTGCCGGAGGTACTGGTGGTTTAACAATAAATCAATGATTATATAAAAATACAGTAGTTAACTAGGCTACTAAAGTGGCCCGGAACTACTTGCCCGACCGGGCAAAAAAAGAATTAAAAAAATAAAAAATATTTTTTTTTATTTTATTTTAATTTTAATTTTAAATTTTGTAACGAATTTCAATGTGACGCTAAAGCAAAAATTGTTTAGTTTATTTTTTTGCATAATATAGTTTTTTGTCGGATTTTTTTTTTTTTTTTTTTTTTTTGGGACCTTCTGTAGTTCTTGCATGGTCGGGCCGCCCGGGAAAATAGGGTGACCCGGGCGGCTCGGCTGGTAGTCTAAGTAGTTAATATAAAATTAAAAAAAAGATAAATAAATAAATAAATATATTATTACCTAGGCTACCATAGTGGTCCGAGGCCACTTGCCTGACTAGGCAACAAATAAATAAAAATAAAAAATAAAATAAGAAAAAATAATAATTTTTATTTTAAATTTGGTAAAGAATTTAGATGTGACATTGAGGCAAAAGTTATCTAGCTTATGTTTTTGTATAACGTAGTTTACTTTTCAGATTTTTTAGGGATTTGTTTTTTTTTTGTTTTTATTGCCTGGACCTTCCCTGATCCTTGCACGACTGGACCGCCCGGGAAAACAAGGTGATCCGAGCAGCCCGGTTGGTATCCTAGATTACTACGATATAATATATTATTAATGATTATATGAGTGGGGGAGAAAATACTAAGGATGATAGGGTGATTAAAAATATATATAAATATATTATTATGAGTTAATAAACTATAAGTTAAAAGTCCAGTTGGTTTTGTAGTTTGTTTAAAACTTCAAATCTAGATGTCTGTAATAACTTTCAAAAACAGACTGTGATCCTAAAAAGTGTCTATTGAATTTTTTATCTGTTACTTGGTAAATTAACGGACCATTAGGGATGCGTGGCAGGCCTACGAGGCCGTTTAGTTTACTACGGATCGTACTATGGATTTACGATAAAATCCAATATGAAAAAAATATTCGATGGGATTAACCCTTTGGGAAACTGGATTGCAGTAGTATACCTGTAAAATTTCTGATATTTACCGTAGAAACCATATAAAGGACTTTTCGATAAATCTAAAGTGATAAAGAATCTCAAAGATTTGAGATCTTTAGCGTTTTGAAACATGGTAGAAATTACTGGGTACCTCTATGGAAAAGGTCATGTAAGGCACTTTGAATTTTGCGAGGTCGACTAAATTCCACAAGGTTCGTTAGGTTTCAAAAAGTTACCGTAAAAATCTGCAGGGATTTTCGAAAACCATAACGAATATTGAATTTCGGGTTAGATTTGGCGGCTCGAACTCAAAACTTTCTTGATAACATGTTTCATAGGTGGTACTAAGAATGATGAGTCCTCAGGGTAAAAAAAAAAACTTATAGGGAAATTCTCGATGTGCTATTTAGTATTTATTGTATAGGTTTGCTTGACTTTTCACCTCAGAGTTGTTTTTCCCTTCTGATGAGGCTGAATTCTAGCTCCGGTCGAAACCGGTAGAGGAAAGCCAGACTTACTGTCGTCTATGCGAGCGGTGGTTTGAGTTTCATAGTTTAAGCTATGCTTAAACTCTTGATTTTTCCTTCTTATTTTTTGAAAAGTTAATTTCTAATTATGAGTTACACATCTCTATTATGTAGCTCTGCATGCAGCGTGCTTGCGTTTTGCGTTTGCTGATTTCAACCCTGTGTCGACATCGACTCATCGCTCTCCATCCTAATTCCAATTCAAAAAAAAAAAAAAAAAAAAAAAAAAAAAGAGGAAAAAAAATGATGTTGACACCGAATGAAAGTAGCTTGCCAAACTCAAACCGAAAACAAAACCAAGAGTTATAGCTATGAGTTGTGCAGCATCGTGTTAGGGTTACTTGACCGAACCCGAACGTTCGCTACCGAACATGAACGAGCGCCAAAACTCTTTGAACGTGAACATAAAAAAAATAAAAATAAAAAAAATAAAAAATTCTCAGAAAAATCTAAACAAAATATATTTGTTATTTCTAGGCTACCTGAGTGGCTAAGGGTCACTTGCCTGGCCGACCCAAAAACAATTAAAAAAATAAAAATAAAAATAAAAAACTTAAAATTTATTTTTTATTCTACATTTGGTGATAAATTTTAATATAGCCCTGAGCAAAAGTTGTTTAGTTTATTTTTCTGCATAACATAGTTTTCAATTTTTTTGCATTTTTTTATATTTTTTTGTCGGGACCTTCCCTGGTGACGTGCTGGGTTCGCTACAGGATGTGGACTTCGTAGTGACTCGTGTTTGTTTCGGTGATTTTTAGACTTTAGGATTGCTTTTGAGCCTCGTGATGGGCTGACTGGCCTTTTACCCTTTGGAGGGGTTTTCTAAACTGGAAAAATCGGGACTTTGTGTACTTGGGACCTCCCTCTGCTGTATTTGTTACCGGTTGTAGTGTAGCTGCGGTTCCGTCTGTAGGAGTGTGTTCTTTTTATAGGAGTTCCGCAGCAGTAGTTTTACCCCGCCGTGTTCGACCCCTGATGATTCCGGCTTTGGCGGTTGGATGAAGCGCGTAGGGTCCTTTGCCAGTTATCCAGACTCGGTTTTTTACGAGTACGGACGTGTTGTCTACTTTCGGTCTGGATTTAAGCTGCTTTTACTGTAATATTCATTAAGCCTATCACGTTCAGGAAACTTCGCTGCGTCTTGCTTCTCCTTCTCTTCGTCTTGTCTTTCTTGTTCCCCGTCGTTTTGCACTTGAGTTTCGTTACTTCATTGATTGTATGTGTGATTCATCACCATCATTTCCACGTAGTAACCTCCGTAGAGATTATACTACGGTAGAGTGGCTCGCTGACCTTGACGTAACCTTCTTGAGTTGTATTCTCGATGGCGGGACAATATCCGATTAGAGGGTGTTATACGTGTGGTTCGCCTAGTCACTTTCAACGTGAGTTTCCTCAGCAAGTCTTCGGTCGGGCCCTGACAACATGTGCTAATGCTACGCCTGTTCTGGCCTTAACGGCCCCTAACTCGGCTCCTGGTACTGCACCGTCTACGTCGACTGCGGTGTTTGGTCCGCCGAACTACTCCGCCTCCTTCCAACCTCGGTCAAACTGGTGGAAGATTAATCAAGAGAAACTGGATCGCTGCTACGCTATGACTATTGCGGATGAAGAGAGGGAAGCCAAGTTAAAAGAAGAGGAGGAACGCATTGAAAAATTGAAGGAGGAAGAAGATAGGAAGGAGTGGAGGAAGGAACGAGAACGACTTGAGGCTGAGATGGCAGCGCGCTTGGATAAGCGTATGGAGGGTGTTTGTCCTAAGCTGCGCAGCATAGATGATGAGGAGGTAAAACGCAAGGAAGACATGGAGCTCCTCTGACTGGAGAACGAGAAGCTTCGACGGTTACTTCTGAAGGGTGATGAGGGAACGGGCGAGGACAATGTATCTCGTTTGCAGCGGGAGATCGCCGAGCTTAAGGGGCAGGTTTCTAACAAGAAAAGTGTCGAGGATGACATTTTCGCCATGAAGCAGGAGATCAAGCAATTGAGGGTTTCGGCTCTTACGAAGGGAAGTTTTGAGGCTGAGCTGGAGGATCAGCGTACTGAGGTGAGCCGCTTGAAGATCCAGAGCATTAAAGACAAGGAGAAAGCGGAGCTTTGGAAAAGGGAAGCACTTCGCCCAGGAAATAAGCGTGGCAACATTGTTATCGGCACGCCGGAGTGTCCTGCCCGGGGCTTACCCCGTCCTCGGTGGACTGGTAACCTTCGTGACTCTGATAAGTGGAGGCAGGAGTACCTTAAGATGAAGGAATTGCATCGTGCCGCCTGCTTTGAGGCGCAGGTTTTGAAGGATAAGAGGGTTGTTGCTGAGGGCGAGGTGGTTAAGTTGAAGGAGCAACTGAATAAGCAGCCTGATAATCCTTCACAGAATCGAGTAACCGAATGGACGAATCCGAAGACTCGGATGGAAGAAGCTGCTACTCGTTCTTCGCGAAAAGGAAAGAAGGTTACTCCTCGCCGTTGTGCGTTGGATAACGCTGCACCGACCGATGATATTAATGAAAGATTCTCGTTTATTGAAGAGCAAAAGAAAGACTTACTCAACTACAAGAAATCCGGCTTGGAAGTGATGTGCAAGGAGGCTGGTTTGAACTTGCGTGCAGTCGATTTGATGATCGCTAACCTGGCGGAATTCCGGGCTGATAAGGCATTCGGCAGACTCGTTGATAAGGGCAAGACTAAGGAGAATGAAGCATCGGTGCAGGAAGTCCCCGATGACTACTCTTCTCACCATGGTGTTTCAACGAATGAGGAGGATGACTCTGCTGAGCTTTACGGTCGGTACCTGGACACAATTATCTTTGGTATTGGGCTCGCTACTGTAGAATACGGTGGGATGGTGTTGGGTTTTCTTCGAGGGATGGTGTCTGCTTGGATGCGGATGGAACTGAGACCGGTGGGGAATATGAGAAGGGGAATCAGTCGTATCTGGTTGGTAACGAGTTTAACGGTTTCTTCAGATGGATTGTGATTCAGTTGATTTTGGCGGATTGCATTCCATGGGTGAGTAAGTTTAAGGCTTATGTGACTAAGTCGTTGTTGGACAGGGGGCATGGGTATATGCGCTGATCTCTCCTTGGACAAAGCATGTGTATACTGGTTCTACTACTAGGTCGATTGCCGTTCGCTGGAGGGAACACGTTCATCGTTGTTCGAAGGTCACTGGTTGCTTCAGTGATAAACGTAATCATAGGTTGTATGCATGGCTTCGTCGATGTGGGATTGGTCAATATGTTATGATTCCGATATGTCACTGCGAACCAGAGGAGGTTCGGTTGGTTGAATGTAATCTTATCCGTTTAGCTAATCCATTTTTTAACACGAGGGATAAGTGTGCTAAAACCAGGCGGAAGAGACCTGGGAGACGGGAACGATGTAGGAAGAAATGGATCCAAGGCAAAGAGTTAGTATCTCGCACGCTGGCTCCCCATGTTGTTTTCTCTTCTTCTATTGGCTGGTCTTCCTCCTCACCGATTCTCATTCAGGATCGTTGTTCAACCCAAGGCATCTGCTCGGTGAGTGTTTCTTGTAGTGTCGGTGGACGTTTGCTTGATAACTGAAAGGTCCTTAAGCGTCGCTTCGGCACCTCTATTGTCAGATCGGGGGAGGAGGTGGGGGTGCTGAGTAAGTATCGCCACCTTTTTCTGTTAGGTGTTGGCGTTGAATTTGTCCGTATTACTCCCTTTTGTTCCAAGCTGCTCTACCTTAAGCCATCTCTCGCTCTGTTATTGTCGGCTCCTCGTGAACGTGCTAAACTGCGCTTCTGGATCTTTGACCTGTTGATCCGCTGCTTTCTGGTTATCCGTGCGTTTTCTGGTAAGAGGACTCGTTGTTCTCTACGCTCTATCATTTGTGGTGTTATTCACCGACCTTTTTCAGTGAATGTGCGTGAGTGACTGGTTGTTCGAATTACCTTTGATCATCGTCTGTGTATTTCTGGGATCCGTTCTTCTTGTAATAAATTGATCAAGGAAGCGTCGATATGTAGAGATTGGAAGGAACTCATCGTTAGACGATCACGTATTGTTTGGTTGAAAAATAAGAGCGTTGGTGATCTCTTGTTTAACTTCAGAAGTGCGGCCAAGGAGGACGCTGTTAAATGTACGTGTTCTGATAATTTTGCGGGTCTTACGATGGCGGGCAATCATGTGTGTTGTAGATTGAGTGAGTGGAATTCTGCGCCTGGTTGGCTAAGAAATAACAAGAATGTTTTAGTTCCTAATAGCTGCGATCTTGTTAAACGGTTGATTAGGAAGGTTGACTCTTGTCTGGATACCGTGGGGTTTGTTGTCCCTAGGGTTGGTAATAGAGATGTTTTGGCTTGCTTTAATCGAACTAGACAAGATGATGAGCATGCATGTAGGTCCTCCTGTTCGGCTGACGAAGTGTTGAGCTGGCGGCATCTGGTGAAGAATTTTGTGTGTACCCCGATCGATCACAATATGGGCGACACCCTGGTCTGTTGTCCGGTCTTGTTTAGAAGGGGAGTTGACAAATTGTTCCTACAAAACTCCAGTTTCGAAACAGTGTCTGGTGATGAAGTTTCCTTGTTAACTACTTTGGAGTTTGACTATAGGAAGGAAGGAATGGACTCATTTTCAAAATGGAATAAGAAAGGGAGGTTGGGGCATGCTTACGTCATTCCTAAACACAAGCATATCATGAAGTGGCGGCCGATTTGCCCCTCCTTCTCTGAGTGTACAGTGCGCGGCTCTAGTATCGTCTCACATGTAGTTGATAGGCTGATTTGGGCGCTCCTGCAAAGATCACTCTTTAACCTCCAAAGCACGGATCTTCTTGTTAAACATGTATAGTTGATTAATGAGGATGTGGAAAACCATGAGGGATTACTGACCGCTGCATACGACGTTAAGGAAATGTTTTGCAATTTGCCTCACGATTCCATTGTCAAAGCCCTGGCCTGACTGATTGAATTCTGGCAACGAAGGGAGGTCAAGGCAATGGTGATTAAATCGAGAGGTAAGGGGGCTCGGTTAATGACGGGCAAGAGGCCGAAGGGTTGGATTCGAATTGAATTTGACGATATATTAAAATTTGTTGCGTTTGATCTTCGTAATACATATACTACAGCGGGGGGTAGGATCTTGCGGCAAACGATTGGCATTCCTATGGGCAAACCTTTTAGCCCCGCCTTTGCCTGTATGTTATGTGCACACTCGGAGTTCACATTTTTCCTGTCGCTCGGTTCTGATCGTTCTCCGGTCCATGGTGTACGTCTGATTGATGACATGTCAGTTGTTGTCAAGTTCACTAAGGGTGATTCTGAGGAGGAGAAAAAGGCCTGGAGGATTCTAAGTCAGTATGAAAAATCCTATGATTCGAATTTGACTTTAGAGTGCACGAGCCGGTCGGATTGCTGGGAATTCCTGGGCTGCATTCTGCAGGATTTCGGCTGCTCAATGGGGATTCGGTGTGCATCGTTGAACAAAAACTACAAACTTAAGAATGATCGGTTGCAATTTCAGAATTTGCAGAACGCAGTATCATACACTAGCCGACGACAGAAATTTGCGGTCATCACATCCCTTGCATAGAGCTTAGCGGTTCACCAGCATGCATGATGCGGAAGGCCCATGCAAGTACCAGGGAAAGTCCTAGTGGGAAAAAAAAAAAATCCAAAAAAAAACTATGTTATGGAGAAAAATAAACTGAACAACTTTTGCCTCAGGGTCACATCGAAAATCTTTACCACATTTAAAATAAAACAGTTAAAACTTAAAAATATATATATATTTAAAATATTTTATTATTATTATTTTTTTTTTGTCGGTCGGGCAGGTGGTCCCGGGCCACTCTGGTAGTCTAGTGTTATACAAAAAAATAAACTATACCACGTTTGCCTTAGGATCACATTGAAATTCTTTATTGAATTGGAAATAAAAAATAAAATAAAAATATATTTTTAAAATTTTAATTTTTCATTTTAATTTTTTGGGGTCCTGGGTTCGAGAAACATCACTTGTCAAGAAAGCAAGAGATCGTCAAACTCGAGAAAACGAGATCAACAAGATTAACGTGTAGCAATTGAACAAGTAACAAGTAACCAGTAACAAGTAACAAGTAGCAAGGGGACCCGGACGATCGACTGATAACCTAGGTAAATATATAATATGAAAACACGATAAATACAAGTAAAAAAACAAAGACATTCAATCATGTTGTAAAATTAAAGAGTACATGCTCATGCTGAACCGTAAGTTGAGCGGTCAAGGCTATACAGATAAAGTTTATATTAGGTGAGGAAAAAACTCGTCGAATGGAAAAAAAGTAGTATAACGTGTTTGTAGCAACAAGCGAACCATAAATAAATTTAAATATATCATAGAAAAAGTACAAGGTAAAAACACAACTCGCCTGGAAAGCTTATAAAAGCAGGAAAAACTCAACAAGTTTATTGAAATTACTCAAAAGAAAAATAAACATATAATAAGAATAACAAATTCTCAATAATAGAGGCAAAGAAAGTCAGTTTCATTTTCTAACCTAAATTCGTACAAAGCCCTAGGCGATTGCGGCTCCTCCTCCTCCTTAGGCGATGACGATTCCTTCCTTGGCGATGATTCTTCTTCCTCCTCCTCCTCCTCCTCCTGCGATGACGGTGGACCCCCCGACTGGACCCTTCCTCACGTTTCCCCAGACCCCTAATCCATAAATCACGGGGAGATGGTACACCCCTCGACCAGATCCATTCCTCCTATTACCCCCCGACCTCCCCCACTCTCCTGAAGTCCCCCCACTTGGTACCAGGGTAAAAAACGGGCCCAGAAATGGTTTGCGACAACCATATACGCCGGTCCTATTTATGAGTACGCGCTTATGTGCATACGCGTGTGCACGTCCGTGAACCCCGCGTACGTGTACGCTGTGCAACCTAGGGTCAAGCTCAAAACAAACTATTGTTAAAACACAGTCAGAGGTAGTGTCACTTTTTAATGAGTATTAATACACGACTTATTTGCATGTAGCGTGTGTTCTCATAATACTGGTGAACTTACATATAATGTGGCCGTTGTGAGATTTCATTAGACAATGAGTTGGTGAATGAAGTTTGACAAACACAAAAAACTTACTTGAAAAAAAAAACCTTTATAAAAAATAAATAAGGTCAGTGAATTTAAATATAGAATTAACTATAGTATGTTCATTAATTTATAAACTAACAAATTTGTGTAAGCTTGTGCATTATGTGTTTACATATATATGTGCATATGTGTGTATGTGTGTATGTATGTGTGTGTGTGTGTGTGTGTGCGTGTGTATGTGTGTGTGTGTGTGTGTATGTGTGTGTGTGTGTATGTCTGTTTGTGTGTGTGTGTGTATGTCTGTTTGTATGTGTGTGTGTGTGTGTTTTTGTGTGTGTGT